AAAGCGGAGGCTCACAGAGAGAAGGAAAGCTCATGTGGATGAGCCCAACTTGAATAAGCTACTTTCCCTGGGGGCTGTGGTGGGGGGAGTGCTAATTCTTAAGCTTTATGGCTGAAAAGCTGAACAGAGGTGTGCAACTAAGATGCATAGAAGCCAGCAGGGCCTTTGTCACTTCTGTGGAGTTGGGGAGGCAAAATTTGGATTTTTTGGCAGCTGAGACAGCCAGGATTTGGAGGGCTAGGATATTGGACCGAATGAGGATTCAGAGAAGTGAGCCCAAAAGTCTATGCTGGTTTCCCTCCAGGTATTTGCTGACTCTTAAGCTACACAGGGCATGAGGTCAAGAAGCCAAGTGAAAAACAGATCAAAAACTGAGCAAGACTTTTAGTAGTCTCACCATTCTTGAAGACAAAAATTAAAGTCCAGAACCAGGGAGGACGGGCATTGGTAGAAAACCCCAGGCTCTCACACCCTAGTGGTGCAGATAAAACAGAGCCTTACAAGAGGCTCCTAAGAGTCCCTGGGTGGTGCAAATGTTTAACACACTCAGCTGCTAACTGAAAGGCTGGCAGTTCAAGTATACCCAGAGGTACCTCGTAAGAAAGGCCTAGCGATCTACTTCCAAAAAATCAGCCATTGAAAACCCTATGGATCACAGTTCTATTCTGACACACATGGGGTGGCCATGAGTAAGAATTGACTTGACAGCAACTGGTTCATTACAAAGTCTTAAACACATCCTCAAGTCAGCCCAGCCCAATTGATTGAAGTGATTTGCCCCCCATTGTAGCTGCTGGCCAGAGGCTAGGGTGCATGGAAAGGTAATAACCAGTCAGAGGACACTTTTTTCCCTCCCCTCAACCTGAGGAGCCAGCAGGCCTATGAAGTCTGCCTGGTTAGAGACCCTAAAGCATTGTCAGCAAGCCTTCCTGGAACTGGAAGTCCCTTTTCACACCCTTGCTGGTGTTTGAGGCACAACTGATGCCCATCAACACAGCAAGATCCATCAGAACAGATTGAACTCATCAGACTGCATGTTCAGCTCTAACAAATACACTTCAACTCACACTCAACTCTCTTATAACTGGGTGGCCAGGCATGGGTCTCTGTCTAGGAAAGCCTTGAATGTGAATCCCAAACAGGAGGCTGTTAAGATACCATGATTTCAGGATAAACCACAAGCTCTAATCATGTGTAAGTCCTAGTAAAGAGAAAACTCTAGTTAATGACCAGAACTGAGAAAAACAATTCACAAACAACTTCAGTTTTAGCTTCTATTCCCAATGTTAGTGAAAAATTTACTCATTTATTTGAAAATAAAATGTCTAGCATCTGTGATATAGACTATGATCTACACAAGCAAGGTCTTTCCCTCAGAGAGTTTACAGCCCAATTGAGGGTGTAGTCAAGACACTGGGCAAGAAAGAGTGATAAGAGCAGTGATCTGGGAAGACCTAAGCTATTGGAACATGCAGACAGGAAAGACCCAACAATGAACAGGTGTAAGAAGGAGACAGGAAAGTGGATGGATCAGTTCCATGCACAGGAAATCCATGTGCAGAGGCAAAGCTCACCCATTTGGAAGAACAGAAAGAAGTCTGTCATAAATAAAGCTGAAGTTTGTCATAAATAAAGCTGAGAGTAGATGGGGCGTGGTGAGAGATGACACTGGAGAAACAGAGTACAGATTATGAAGAATGAGCTAGCTAAGTAATCCTGGGGGAAATGGGGAGTCATTGAAAGGTTTTAAGAAGGAAAATCATAAATGTATAAAAATTCTCCTGGCTGCATTGTGAAGAATGAATTGGAAAAGACCAAGAAAATGGTCTGGGCAAGAGATAATGGAGAAATGGCAACAGAAATGGAGAGAAGTGAACAGATTTAAGAGCAATTTAGAGAAGTCTAGACTTGATTGGGCACACTAGTGCCATGATGAAGTTTTTGGACTGCTTGGGTTCAAGTCCTGGCTCTGTCATTTACGGGGAAAATGACTTAGTCCTTCTGCACCTTACTTTCTTTTTCTGTAGAGTACGGATAATAAAAGTACGTGCTCATGAGATTATGAGGAAAGATAAATGAGATCATTCACAGAGTACTTAGAACAGTTCCTGGCATCTTAGAACAGTTCCTGAATCCCATTCAAATCACTGTGTGTTGACATTTGTTAGGGCAGGGAAACTATTCCATTAGGTACCGTAATGGTGGACACGTGACATTATACATTTGTCAAAACTCATAGGACTGTACAACACACAGTGAACCCTAAGGTAAACTTGGGGCTTTAGTTAATAAGAACATATCAATACTGGTCCATCAATTGTAACAAATGTACCACATGAATGCAAGATATTAATAATAAGAGAAACTGTGTAGAGGGAAGAGGGGGATATATGAGAGCTCTTTGTACTTTCTGCCGGATTTTTCTGTAAACATAAAACTGCTCTAAAGAGTAGTCTATTTTAAAAAAATAGTGTGTGTTTTCAGTCTCCTGACTGAACCCTGACTGATAATCGTCATTGAAATGGGAAACATAGGAGAAAAAATAGGTATTGAAAAGGTAAATTCCGTTTGGGGCATTCTGTGCTTGAGATGCTTGTGGGACATCCAAAAAGAACTGTCTGGTAGGAAGCTGAGCACTGAGGTCTGAAGCTCAATACTCAATACCTGAGCTAAAGAGAGAGACTTAGAAGATGAAGTACCATGGCCTCTAAAATCCTAGTAGATGAAAACATGTATTTAAATGTCACAAGTCAGTGAGATACTGGCTCTATCTTTACTTTTGCGTAAGCTCGTGTGTCTCATCAAGAGGGGCTAAACAAATTACTCTCTATTCGTGTAAATAGCAGCGCATCTCACCAGAAGATTCATGGTGATTTCATTCTGTGTATATTAGGTAATGTTCTATATCTGTTAACATTTTCAAAGCTAAACGAGGGTATGGTTGAAAAGAGCGAAGCCCTACACATGTTAATAAGATGGCTCTGATTACACTCCACACTCGGAAGCCTAATCTGGTGGAAGCAAGGGAGTAATCAGTCATACCAGCTCCTCTGGTTGCTGACTAGAATCAGAAAAACTCTAACTGATGTGCCAAAATCTCAAATAGTAGCACTGAAAACTGGTGAATTGCTGAAGTGTCAATATTATTTGAAAACAACAACTAGATACAAACTAATTTTGAAAGAGACCCATGCTGACCTCGCTGCCTTTTTCTAGGATATGAACTTGGTAAAGATAACTTGCCCCTTGGTTCCCACATTTCTCAAAAGTTTGGATCTCCTGACCACAAAAAAAGGAAGTTCCATCAGCAGTTTGCAAAGGAACAATTTGGAAGAATATATATTAAATATATTAAATCCTCAGGGAAATTAAACCCAAATAATCCAGTAATAGCTTTACAAAATTAACACTAGACCAAAAATGGAATTAATTGCCTCCTACTGTGGGGATTTGTTGGCTACCAAAGACTAAAACAAATGAGACCAATGATATAAGCTGCCATAAAAGAGGCTGGGAAAAGGCAGCAGCAAATGTGATGTCGATGCACCACCAGAGTTGACCCATGGTTGTTTTTAAACTTTTCTGATTTATTCCGGAGATCTGTAGCACAGAGAAAGGTGTTCACAGCCCATCTCATACCTCACATTATAGTAGGCTGGTGAGAGAGGCGAGAGGTGGCGCAATGCTTGGCGCAAAAGGTAATTTTATGAATTGCTCATTTGTTAACTCTTCTCTAGAAGCAGCTGTGGTGTTGGAAATCATTGTAAGGACTTTTTCTCCTGAGAAGGTTGAATGGGCAGGTGTCTGTGGGAGCAAGACATGATTTCTCTAGAATGTAGGAGTCCAGTGATAAGGCAGGTCTTTAACAATACCAGTAAGCTGCTCTGAAAGACATTGGTCTTGGCATTTCAGTAATCATTTATTTCTGCCAATTCCCTTCTTATGTCACAAAGTCAGTACGCCTGTGGCAATGAAAGATTACCTAAACAATATGCGCCAAGGGAGCAACAAAATCAGCATGTGTGTGACTTACCAAACCTCTGCTAGGGTTTTTAAGGGCTTTCAGGAAGAAGGTAGGATGCAGCATCTAGAAATAAAATCCTGGTGATTTATACAGATTCACCAAATAAGGCCCACAGGGCAAATTTAAAAGGCCTTGAACTGCCTCCTGCATCTCTGGAGTTGGCCAAACCCATTGTCGTGGAGTAGATTCTGACTCATAGTCAGATCCATATGACTCATAGCGACCCTGTAGGAGAGAGTAGAACTGCCCCATAGAGTTTCCAAGGAGCGCCTAGGTTAGCAGCCGTAGAGCTTTTGGTTAGCAGCCGTAGAGCTTAACCACTACACCGCCAGGGTCCGGTTTGTCAAAATGCCTATCGAATGGGCTTACACACATCCTTCACGTTACAGCTGACATTTACTCCTAAATCTTTTTAATAACCAAACAGCATATTACAAAAAGTTAATTAATGGCATTTTATTTTGCTAGTATGTGACTTAGGATTCTTTTCACATTCTTAATTTTGTTTAACGTTTTGAAAATGCTGTCTCTTTTGTGTGAATTAAAAAAAAAACAAAAAAACTGGTACATACTGAATACTTTTCTTTCCTTCCCTCATGAATTGACGCAAACACCAAAAACAAAATAGTATTTGGTTAAGCTCAGAGAAATGAAGCATTCTGTTGGTTTGGAATCTTAATTACTATCACCTCAGACTTGCCTAATTAGAATCTCTTTCATAATGAGGAAAATTATTTTCAAAATTAATGAATTTGCAAGCAGAAGCACTGCTGTCTTCCCAGAATAAATTACCCACATTCCTTACATACATGTTTTCATTATCCACTCTAATTAATATGCGTACTTAAAACATGTGGGCTTGATTTCACTGTTAAAGGAAACTTTCCTTTGTTTTTGGGCAGTATAAAAGACCACAATTTCCCCTCCTGCGGACACTGAACTGAGCATATAAACTTAATTTTGGTTTTTTGGCAAAATGGAAATTATTTCATCCAAACGATTCATTTTATTGACTTTAGCCACTTCAAGCTTGTTAACATCAAACATCTTTTGTGCAGATAATTTAATGATGTCCAATCTTAACAGCAAAGAAAATTATGACAAATTTTCTGAGGTAAGTTTTTTAAAAATCTAATGTGACTAGTATTAATGATATAATGTTTGTACTGAGTTTTACAATCTTCTAAAATGTAAGGAATAAGTTAGTTTGTACTTTGCTTTTTGGTTAAATTTCAGCCTTGCTATGACAGTGTATTGATGTAATTTGTATTATTTAGCACAACAACAACAGCCTGGCCTCTCTAACGACAATTTAAGTACAGGACTAACAACAACAACAAGTTTGTGGTAAATCTGTATCTAAGTAAAATGTTTATCTCTAGATGGTGGAATTACAAGTTATTTTTATTTTCTTCTTTATGCTTTTCCATATTTTCCAAATTTTTTGAAATGAGTACGTATTACATTTTACAATCAGAAAGTATCATTTAAAAATCTCCACATGGACTAACTGTCATGGTAAAACCAAAAAAACAACAAACTCATTGCTGTTGAGTCATAGTGACCCTATAGGACGGAGTAGACCTGCCCCCGCAGGGTTTGCAAGTATGTAATCTTTACAGAAGCAGACTGCCACACCTTTCTCCCATGGTGTGGCTAGTGAGTTCAAACCACCGATCTTTCCAGTTAGCAGCCCAGCGCTTAACCACTGTGCCACTAGTGCTCCTTCATGGTAAAAGTAAATCTAATTAAAGATTCAATGTATTTTAAATGATTCCTATAGAGTCTGTATATCAGTAGTGTGGTAATCCACAAACCAATGGATTCTTTACTAAAGATGTAATGTATATTCTAATAAAAATACAACTAGTTTCTGGGGAACCAACACAACTTGTTCAGGGTAAGGTCATGGAAGCTCCATGGACAAATCCAAACTCCCTGAGGGACTGATTTACTGGGCTGAGGGCTGTGAGGACCATGGTCTCAGGGAACATCTAGCTTAATTGGCATAACATAGTTTATAAAGAAAACGTTCTACATTTTACTTTGGTGAGTAGCGTCTGGGGTCTTAAAAGCCTGTGAAAAGCCATCTAAGATACTCCACTGGTGTCACCCCTTCGGCAGCAAGGGAAAATGAAGAAAACTAAAGACACAAGGGAAAGATTAGTCCAAAGGACTAATAGATCACAACTACCACGGCCTCCACCAGACTAAGACCAGTACAACTAGATGGTGCCCGGCTACCACCACTGACTGCTCCGACAGGGAACCCAACAGAGGGTCCAGGACAGAGCTGGAGAAAAATGTAGAACAAAATTCTAATTCAAAAACAGACCAGACTTACTGGCCTGACAGAGACTGGAGAAACCCTGAGAGTATGGCCCCCAGACACCCTTTTAGCTCAGTAATGAAGTCACTCCTGAGGTTCAACCTTCATCCAAAGATTAGACATGCCCATTAAACAAAACGAGACTAAAGGGGCACACCAGCCCAGGGGCAACGACTAGAAGGCAGGAGGGGACAGCAAAGCTGGTAATAGGGAACCCAAGGTGGAGAAGGGAGAGTGTTGACATGTCATGGGGTTGTTAACCAATGTCATAAAACAATATATGTACTGACTGTTTCATGAGAAATTAGTTTGTTCTGTAAACTTTCATCTAAAGTACAATTAAAAAAACTGTTTTTAAATATACAACCAGTTTCTTGAAAAATGCTTTAGGAGTAGAGTTCAGAGTATGAAGGGGTAGAAAAAAAAAATTCAACTTGAACTCCTACAACTATATCCCAAAACCTAGCTAGCATCTCTGTTTCTATGTGTCCACCACTTTGGTCTTTAAAGAGGGAAAAAATAAGAGACATGGAGAGGGAGTGGTGAGGTTTCTCTAAAATCAAAATGTAAAATATTTCATAAACAAGATGAATCAAAAAACTGAAAGAGAATAGCTGCAATAAAACGTTTGCCTCATTTCAATACTTCATTATGTTCCTGCTGCTTGAACACATTGCTACAGTCACTATCTATATTTTATTAATATTTTATAGCTGTCTTACAATAGTCTAGGGACCAAGAAACTAGATTGCTTTAAGAAGCTTAATACAAATTATTTATTAAAAAATTCTGCAGATGAGAAAACAAACTTTGTTTATAGCCTTAACTATTCTGCAGATTAAAGTCTGAATTTAAGTTAATTTGGAGTCGAAGTCTGCTGCTTGTAACAATAAGAAATTATTACAATGGTCATTTCTAATTATAGCCTCGAGGAGACTCCAAAGGGGAAAAGGAAAGAAGCCTCAATTTTGAAGAATTAAAAGACTGGGGACCAAAAAATGTCATTAAGATGAGTACACCCGCAGTCAACAAAATGCCACCCTCAGTCACCAACTTGCCATTGAGATTTGGGAGAACCATGGAAGAACGAAGTCCTGGACCGATGGCCAACTTGCCTCCGAGATTTGGAAGAAATATGAGCGGAAGCATCTTGAGACGTGTTCCTAATCTGCCCCAAAGGTTTGGGAGAACGACGGCAGCCAAAAGCAACACTAAGACACTGAGTGATTTAATCCAACAATCCATGGATTCACCATCTGCCAATGACTTACTTTACTCCATGACCTGCCAGCTCCAAGAAATCCAGAATCCTGACCAAAAGCATCCAAGGTAAATACGTAAAAACCAGTTTAAATACATGGCAAGTTACAGAGAGCTGGTGCAGTAGCTCACAAAGCATTACATCTTTTCAGAGTAAGTGTCTAAGAAGGAGAATGGCAAGGATACAGGGGAATGAATAACGTATATGTTGAGAACTGTAGAAGGCCAGGTATAAGCATGGTTATAGGTGTAAAGTAATGAGATGGTTTCTCCTGAACCACACATGAGCATTGTCTTAGTTATCTAGTGCTGCTGTAACAGAAATACCACAAGTGGGTGGCTTTAACAAACAGTAGTTTATTTTCTCACGGTTTAGGAGGCTAAAAGTCCAAATTCAGGGTGCCGGCCCTAGGGGAACGCTTTCTCTCTCTGTGGGCTCTGGAGGAAGGTCCTTGTCTCTTCAGCTTCTGGTTCCTGGTTCCTTGGAGATGTCCATGTGTCCTGGCATCTATCTTACTCCATCTCTCCTCTGCTCACTTGTATATCTCAAGATTGTATATAAAATCTCTTTTCTATCTCAAAAGAGATTGACTCAAAATACACCCTACACTAATCCTGCCTTATTAACATAACAAAGACAACTCATTCCCAAATGGATTATAAACACAGGCAGGATTTACAACACATATTTTGGGGGGACATAATTCAATCCATAACAGGCATCAATCTCATTACTCTATAGCCACATATGGTAAGTCCATGCAATAACAGGATTGGGAATTGAACTCTGTAATACATTGTCTGGCATTTGACCTCTCTAACATAGAAGGCCCCACGTAAGGGAGTTGTCCAGAAGTACCAAGGATGCCATCTCAGTAACTCAGGTCTCAAATTCAGAAGGCTTTATTCCTCAAATTTTAACCCAGCCTTTTTCTTTTTCCTGGATCTTGTTGTACAAATCAATTCTGATATCATTCTTTGCATCAATTAATAAGTATTTATATTAAGTATAGGAGCCCTGGTGGTGCAATGGTTAAGCACTTGGCAGCTAACCGAAAGGTTGGCAGTTCAAACCCACCAGCACCTCCATGGAAGAAAAGACCAGATGATCTGCTCCCATAAAGATTACAGCCTAGGAAACCCCATCGGGCAGTTCTACTCTATCCTATCAGGTTGCTATGAGTCAAATTCGACCTGACAGCACAGAACAACAACAATATATACAAACCAGAGTGCCAGGTATTATGAGAGATTCAAAATAAGTTATAAGCCACCTACCTATACATGTAAAAGAACATTTTTAAATACAAAGTGGAAAGTGACAATTCAGTTAAGACCTGAAGGAAGTAAAGTGGCAAGCTGCGTCACCTCATCAGCGAGAACTTCTCAGCAGACCTCAAAAACAAAACTCAAATCTGTTGCCATCAAGTCGATTCCAACTCATAGCGACCCTATAGGACAGAGTAGAACTGCCCCATAATGTTTCCAAGGAGCAGCTGGTGGATTTGAACTGCTGATCTTTTGGTTAGCAGCCAAACCCTTACCCACTACACCACCAGGGCTCTCCCTTAAACTGCTTTATTTTTCTCAGTGGTATTTTTCCCCATCTAGCATGTTATATATTTGGTGTTCGTCCCCTTTACTAGAATTTCAGTTCTATAAGTCCCATAATTTTTGTTCATTGTCATATCCCCAGTGCCTAGAACTGTGCCTGATACATAGTAGGCACTCAGGATTTGGTAGAATGAAAAAAATGATATAAGAATGGTACTAATAAAGTCCCATAGAGGTTCAGAAAAAAGGTCCTTTTTCTGCCTGTGGGAATCTGGGGGTGTTTCATGAGTTGGGGTTTGAAGAATGACTCTTCTTTGAATATACAAAGACTGGAGGGAGGAGACAGCACATTTTCAGGCAAACAAAAGAGTATAAGCAAAGGCACTAAAGCAAGGTGAGCCGAGAACAGCTGGGGTTGAGTTTGGTGAGAGCAAAGGGTTTGCAAAGAGGAGATGAATGAAGTCTAGAAGGACAGAGTAAGGGCAGAGTACGAACCTTTGGACATTATTCCCAGGAACAGGAGAACTGCTGAAGTTTCTGCTGAGGTCCTGAGATATTACATTGAGGGAGAATCTGGCAACTAATTAGATGTTGGGAGTGGGGTGGTGGTGAGAGAAAGATGAGTCAACAGTAAGTTTTTGACTCTGAGTGGCCATTACAATTGCAGGAGCCCATCAATATCTCACTCATTTCAAGTGCAACACAAGTCAACTCAAGTATAATTAGGCAATTAGGAGCATGGCCTGTATTTTGATATGCTTTCACTTGCTATTCTGATGGATGAGAACGTTTTGTACTGCTTACATTTTAGGAGACCGGGATTCAAGAAAACAGATGACGCAGAATTGAAACAAGAAAAATAAGAAATCTGGAGGCTGCCCCTGAAGATGACATAAAGCTGTGGCCTGTAATCTGCCAACAGCTCTACAGTGAGACAGTGAATGAAGAGTCACGGCACTCGTTTGCATTGCACTGGGACGTATCATTCACTGCAGTTTTTCCTTGTCAGTACAGCTAGTCATTTAAGGAATAATTGTAATGTTATCTGGAAATAACTGTTGTCTAAATAAAAAAAGCATTGCAAATACTTAAGAAGCCTCTGGTAATGGTGAGAGACAGAGAGAGAGAGAGAGACTGAAGTCACATTACTAACTAGTTGCCATTGAGTCGATTCAGACTCAGGGCAACCCTATGTGTGTCAGAGTGGAACTGTGCTCCATAGGGTTTTCAATGGCTGATTTTTCAGAAGTAGATCCTCAGGCCTTTCTTCTAAGGTGCTTCTGGGTAGACTCGAACCTCCAACCTTTTGGATAGCAGCCAAGCACATTAACCATTTGCACCAACCAAGGATGTGAAAACCATGACACCTATACTTAAGAAAAAAATTAAGTAGAAGTGGAACAGTAGGCTGACAAATATTTTGACGATAATTAAACAATTTAACTGAATGGCATGGCTGGCAGAGAAGTGAACATGTATAACAAATCACTTATAAACACGTTTTCATGCACCCATTTTTTTTCCATTGCATCAACTCTTATGGAATCTTTGATAGATTGAAATTTAAAACCTGTCATCTCTCTGTGTAAATTTATAAGATACAGAAAACTCTTAGATTTGGGGAGATAAAAGAAAAAGGCAATTATTACCTCTTTGTCTTCTCCCTAGAGATTTCCCTGGAAATTTGCCTTCTGGTGTGATTCTCTTCTCTGCATTTAATATTTGAAGTTTTGAATTCATAGAAAAAAAAATCTAGTCACTCTTAAACTAACAATTTATCAACACAGTACATCACATCACAAACACACAGTGATTTGACTTTACTCATAAGACTATGAAGCCCTGAATCAGATATAACTGGTTTACTGAACAGTCTCTACTCTGTAGGGTGCAAAGAGGAAACGGTTTTATTTCTCTTCCATCCTGCCCTCAGCTGTGCTGTGTTGAATCTCCTTCCCCTGCTGGGTAGAGATCCCTTAATGATACCCTGGATAGATTCCATAACTTCCTCGGTCACTTTTTGATATTAAAAAACTCAGTCAAGTCCAGTTGAAGCCGCCAGCCAATGCAGTTTCCCTCCCCCATTGCTAACTGGGCTGGTGGCTGGAGGGACCTACGGAGGGCACGGGGCAAGATCTGCCCTTTCTCTCTTACTCCCAATGGTTGAGCACTCAGCTGCTAACTGAAAAGGTTAGTGGTTAAAATCCCCTAGCCATTCTGCAGGAGAAAGACCCGACAATCAGCTTCCCTAAAGATTACAGACAAGAAAACCGTATCAGGCAGTTCTACTCTGTCACATGAGGTCGCTAAGAGTCAGAATCGACTCCACAGCACCCAACAACAACCCCTTTCTCACCTCAAAGGTGGGACGGTGGGAGGGGAGGTGGTAGGCCTCTGGGAAACAATCTCCCCTCCTGTCTTCTCCAGGGCGTTGTAGTAGGTGGAATGGGGATCCGGAGTCATTGTTTATTCTTTTCCATATAATGTTGCTGCCTCTACAGGTGCATTCTCGGGGAAGCCCTGCAGGGACCCCTGCACTGCCCAGGTCACTGACCTAGGAGATCTGCATGCTGCTGCTCTCTTCCAACCACCTCATCTGTGCTCCCCATCACCAGCTACTGCCAGAAAGACAGGCTCAAGCTGGCTCCCTTCCCAGGGTCTACTTGATCTATAGAAAATGCAGACATCCTCGCCCTGCCAAGACCGGGACTGCAGGCTGCCCTTGGCTGCCCCACCACTACCCCACCTGTCTCCAACTCTCTTTGCCCTTGCTTGGGAGGGCCAGCAGCACACCAGTAAATCTGCTGCCTAAGCGAACAGCCAGTTTGGAGATGAAATGCCAGTCCCCTCTTCACAAAGACACCCCCACTCTCTTTGAGTGATTTTCTGGCTTCAGTGGGGAGAGGCAGCTGCAGCAGGCCCTTCCAAGCCAAAAACCCACAACTACACATCCCCAGGTGATGCAAACAGCTAAGTGCTTGACTACTAACTGAAAAGCTGGTGGTTTGAATGTGCCAGTGGTACTTCTGCTTCTGAAAGGTCACAGTCATGAAAATCCTATGGAGCACAGTTCTACTCTGTAATACACGGGGTCGCCACGAGTCAGAATCTGACTCAATGGCAACTGTTTGGTTTTTGTTTGGTTGTTTACATGGCTGGGAGGGGCACAGGCTAAGTAGAAGCTGGGGTGGCTCTGCCATCTCTTCCTAAACCCTTATTAGGGTGTCTGACCCCTGCCATTCATGGTTTCCATTATAATATCAGGTATTTAGCCTTTCTGTATCTCCACTTTGGTCCACAGTTGCCAATCTTGGGAAACAGAGAAAATACCATACAATATTCTGCTACACTAATAAATAAAGATTTGGACCCTTGAGACTCTCTTTGTTCTCATTTTGAGTCCTGCCACATCAGCAAATGAAGGTCCCAACAGCTTGACTCCATCCACGTCGTTAAGGTTGACGCTACTTTGAGGAGGCAGCTCTTCCCCAGTCGTATTTTGAGTGCCTTCCAATCTGAGGGGCTCATCGTCTGCCACTATATCAGGCAACGTTCCGCTGCTATTCATAGGGTTTTCACTGGCTAATTTTTTCAGCAGTAAACCACCAGGTCCTTCTTCCTAGTCTGTCTTAGTCTGGAAGCTCAGCTGAAACCTGTCCACCATGGGTGACCATTCTGGTATTTGAAATACTGGTGGCATAGCTTCCAGCATCACAGCAACATGCAAGCCACCACAGTGTGACAAACTGATAGGTGTGTGGAACAATTCTACTCTGTTACAGATGGGGTCGCCATGAGTTGGAATCAACTCTATGGCAACAGGTTACCTCTTTAAAATGTAAGGGATGGGGGAGGGGGTGTGCAGAAACCTTCCCCACACCTTAGGTGGAAACTTGGCCAGATGCCATGAACCTGATTGCTGCTCTTAAGTAATAGTCTTTTGGCCTTTCTAAGTGAAAAACACACAGTCTCAATTCCATTGTACTCAGCGTTTCAGTCTGCATTCAGCCACTCATTGATTCATTCCCCACTTTTCCCATGCTGAGGTAGGTCTATAGTTGGGGTAAAGGAGTGTGGTTGACTTCTGCTCTTTCTTCCAGTCTCACCTCCTTCCTCACTCTCTGATTGCTTTATTGAACTCCACTGGGTAGAAGGAGTTGGGGAGGAGAGGCAAGGGGATAGGACAGTTCTTACCAGGCTGGATGGATTCACTCTCAGGACTCAGCAGATGGGAACATCTACCATTGCTGGGGCCCTCTCCCTATAACCTCCTGCCCCCCATGATGCCTTCCACTCTCCAGGCTGGCCTTGATCCTCAGCCCTGGGACCCAGCACCCACTCCATACATGCTCATTTCTAACCTGGAGTCCTCTCGAGTAGGACTTGAAACAGCTCCAGCAAAGCTCCTTCCCGCAGCCTATACCTGGTCACCTGTGGCTAGCTCCTCCATACCTAGGCATGCTAGCTGATCCCAGCACTGCTCCTCATTCCTGTTGCCCCCCAGCCTCTAGCTTTTTTGACCTGGAGTCAGGCACCAATCTTCTGTTTCTCTCAGCCACATGGGACACATTTCTTCATCATATGGAAGCCCCTGCCTGGCATACTGGTGAAAGGGTAAGGGACACAGTAACCTCCAACATCTGGGCATGGCGTAGGGGGTATTCACAGCAAGGTTACAACTCTCTCCAAAAAAATCTCTTCACAGACTCAAATCCTATCCTTTTACAGTATCCAAGTGGGTAAATGTCTTAGTTATCTAGTGCTGCTATAACAGATATACCACAAGTGGATGGTGTTTTGCAAAAAGAAATTTATTTTCTCACAGTCTAGTAGGCTAGAGGTCCAAATTCAGGGCATTAGCTCCAGGGAAAGGCTTTCTCTCTGTCAGCTCTGGAGGAAGTTCCTTCTCATCTATCTTCCCCTGGACTAGGAGCTTCTCCGCGCAGGAATCATGGGTCCAAAGGAAGCACTCTGCTCCCAGCACTGCTTTCTTGGTGGTATGAGGTCCCCAAATTTCTGCTTGCTTCCCTTTCCTTTTATCTCTTGTAAGATAAAAGGTGGTATAGGCCACATCCCAGAGAAACTCCCTTTAGTTGGATCAGGGATGTGACCTTAGTAAGGGTGTTACAATCCCACCCTAATCCCTTTAACCTAAAATTACAATCACAAAATGGAGGACAACCACACAATACTGGGAATCATGGCCTAACCAAGTTGACAGATATTTGAGGGGGACACAATTCAATCCATGACAGTGAGGAAATTGAGGAATAGTGGAACTACTTTTCAGCCACTTTCTTCAAAAGCTCTGCAAATAGTGATATGGCTTTGGAACTTTGTATCTATTAGATTTCAGTGTTTTGGTTAAAACTTCACTTTTGACATCCTTTGCCACAACAAGGAGCCCTGGTGGCGCAGTGGTTAAGAGCTCAGCTTCTAACCAAAAGGTTGGCAGTTTGAACCTACCGGCTGCTCCTTAGAAACCCTATGGGGCAGTTCTTCTCTGCCCTATAGAGTCACTATGAGTCGGAATCGACTTGATGGCAATGGGTTTGGTGTTTTTGGTTTTGCGACAATGATAGATCTCTTTTTAGAAGGGATTTTCACAGCTGCTAAAAATGACACTTTGTCTGAATCATTACACACACTTGTGCATTTTTCTCGGGTGAGCATTCATAGTTCCTGTGCAGACTCTCAAAGTGGTCTGTGATCCCATAAAGTTTAAGAATCACTGCAACAGAGGATTCTTATTTCTAGAATTATTTTAAATTAATACCTAATTCAGTTTGTAAATGAATATCATTATCTGATTGGCCATCTAAGTGCTGAGAACATAATGCCAAAACACTAATTATCAGAATCA